GTTGCCAAATATTAACTCTTTTTAACAGCCCATGTGCTCTTGGCTGCGTCTCACTTTCTTGACTGTAAATGGACCTTTATAAATTGCCTGTACATATCAGGTCTAAGGCGCTTCGTTGTTATTGTGGATCAATAATTTCTAGCAATCCAGGATGGATTTTCAAAACACAGAAAACAAGCAAACCCCCAAATTTTACTTGAAAGTACTCTATTTAGCTACCTTTATTCATTCAAAGGGAAAAATTACCATGCCTGTTGCCTGAAAAATATCATTTAACTGCACAAACAATAAATGCTGTTTCATTAGTAGAGTATAGTCACTGTGAATATAGCTATGGTGAGATTTTCACATTAAGTCTGAATACGGTAAACCCTGGCAGGAGAAGAATAAAGCGTACAGAGCTGGGTATAGAGCTGGGTCCCATTTTACCCAAAGTCTGTATTTTTCTTGGAGAGGAGAAAGAAATGAAAGTAGAAAGAATAAATGGCTATTTTCACTTCTACGTGTTTTATAAAGGAATAAATTAAGAGTCTGAACTGCTCCAATGCTTTTAAATTGTGAGTAATGCCACGGAAGGCGGGAAAGGGGGAAATCTATTGAAAAGCCTACTTTTTATTTTTAAAAATGGCAGAAAACTGAAGAGCTCCATTTAGAATTGTGTAATTTTTTTGTTTTAATACTTCTGACTGGAGCAAGAAGAAAAAGTCTCTTTCAACAGCATAAAAATGCTTCGCTTCACTTTGTGGATGTAAAAACTGTTTTATCTCAGCTTGCACGGATACTCAAATGCCTGTCCCCTTACCACTTCTTTGTCCCCAGGACTTGTCTGTTCAACGTGTCACAGCCTCATGCTCAGTTTCGGATCAGACTCTGAACCGCCTCTCCTACAGTGCACCACGATGTCTTTGCAGCTCAGCTCTAAATGGCACATAGCAGAACAGTTTAACTGGGAATCCTAGTTTACAGACACCCAAGCACTTGGGATTTTGACTGATGTCTGCAAGAAGTGGACTTGCTTTTTCAGAAGCAAACAGAAAAATTCTGTTTTCCCCTAATGCCCGATTTTCTACTGAAAAACTATCAGCTGAAAGATTTTGATCAGCCTTCATTTAAAAGCAAGGCAGGATGAAGGTAGAAATTCTATGTAAAAAATAGCTAATAACCAGGCCACAAACATGCAGAGTTGCACAGGCAACTAAATTAATTGCCTGCTATATTCCAATCAGCCCAATGGCCACAGCTTTACTGGGAAATAAGCATTCTTCAGAAAAACAGCAGCGCTTTTCCCAGGGTGACTCCTGCTGTACCCGAGTGGCACCCTGCACCAATTTCCACGCAATTTTTACTTCTTGCGCCTTTCCTTGGGTTTGATCCTTTTCCATCTGAAACCAGTGGGGATGTTTGCAGTGCTGACCTGACCTGCTAGATCTGGTGGGACCAGGGTGTGGGATCTTGCCTTACACAAAGGTTATTTAGATCTGGTGAGAGGAGTTGCCATGTCTGCCTCCACTGCACTCCCCTCCAGCCACATGTTTTCAGCCAGCCAGGTGGGAATCCAACTTACGCTGGATGAGCTATCATTTTTCTGATGGGAAAGGACATTTTTTGTTATGGGGACAGGGCCTTACACTCTACCATGTTTCAACCCAGAAGGGATTTCTGCCAGTCCAAACCCACCACACCGACCACAGTTTCTGTTGACAGACACCGGCATCCTCCAGCTCAGTAGCACTGGGCTCCTGCACCACCAGCATCATCTTATTTTACAGCTGAAGCCAGCCATGGTTTTCATCCTGTAAATTACTGCTTTTGGTCACGGTGATCCCTGTGTGTGGTTTGGGTTTCATTGTTTTGTTGGTGGTTTTTTCGGTTTTGTTTTTTTTTTTGGTTCTAAACAACAGTACATACTCCTGGAGGAGTCTATAAAATGTCTTGCTGCTGCAGTCATTGAGAAGGGTATGCT